CGAGTGGGACTTTGCTGATTTTGGCTCCTGTATCGACTAAAATGTCTGAGCCAGAAATACGGTCCCTGATGTGTAAGAGACGGCTTGTGATGTGACCGACAACATGAGCCGCCGTTGCTCTCGTGCCGGCACGTTTCTCAGATTCTCATTACTGGATGATGTGAATGTGCACGGTCGTGTGCAGCGCCATGACTTTTCGCCATATTTCTGACGATGCCAACAGACTACTGAGGTCCGCACAGATAATCAAGGACGCTGCCTCTAAAAGGATGTCTGTCTGGATGATGATATGTGTCGTCTGGTTTGGACCACGGCTATTGTTGCTTGTAATGATCCTAAATTGTAAGGGTTACTTATCCCCAGGGTCACATGCATCCAAAAATTTTTCCAATCTTTTTTTCACCAACAACCAATGTACATTCAATTACAGCTGTTTTGTCCATCCTCTGGTACCTAATCGATTAGGTCCGCAGCCTCTGCAGCAATTTCGAATGGGAGTGCGGCCGTTACCTATGCGTATTTTGTTGCCTGAAAACGTGTTCCTGGAGATATGAATGAAGCTTCTTCTTGTGCAAACCAGACTCTTGGATTGTTAGCCCCAGATATAGCATTAACTGCTTAGAATGGTGTCGGAACAGTTGGGTGATGAAGAAGGAGCGTTTATAGGTTATTAAGAGAGTACATCATAAGGAAAATAAACTGACGAATCAGTTTGAACCAGATATGCATTCGCCAGTTTCACAAACTGGACGCAGTGCCATTTTGAATTGGGTAATAAAAATTGAACTCACAATACGGTACAAACGAATGAACCTATTTATCAACTAGCCGGCACATTTGCACGAATACATTGTTACTTATCTTCATTGACCCATTTAATAACACAACTCGTGAAGCCTCTTATCTTTATACTATTGTTGCAAATTATTGCTCATGACGTGTACCCATTCTTTCAAAAATATATATTGTTAGTGGGTTGTAGCTTATGTCAGATGGCATTAAATACCCCTGAAACATTTTTTAAGCTGACCTCAAATGTCATGTTGAACTCTTGATACCTAACGTTGAAGATTTTGCGATACAAATGTCAGTTGGTGACAAAACTCCATGTCGTGGTAGTTCAAGCGCGAACTTTTAAGTTGGCAACATTTTTTCGTGTGGTTTAGGAATTTTCAACTTGGTCATTTGCAGGATATACTTTACTGACATTATCATCTCATCTTTTATGTCAGCCACACTTTGTCTGGGGAAAAAATTTTTGTCAAACACTTACCAATTAATACATACCTGCTGCCGACTTTGTTTCCTGCATATCTTACATAAGCCCCGAACGGTTGACCCTGACACGTCGTTACATCTGAACTATATTAGTTGAGATATAAATATTTAATTGATCGTTATTCTCACATTATAGCTAAACACCATTTATCTGAGATACATTAAATACCTATAGTATCTTATTCTGGTACTAACCTGGATAATACCTAATAAAAACTATATACCAAGATATTCTTTTAAGTTAGACGAACTCACTACTCACCTAGCTTCAAATTATGGCCAGTAACTCCAGTAAAAGAGGTATTTCACCAGCCTCGAAGCCAACTAAAGATCAAAATCTTAACCTCTGTCTGACAATACTGTATCTGACAATGACAAATCATCATCTGGACCCTATGCGTCTTATCCACAAATAATAATAATACTACCTGATTCTCTGAGTGACAACCACTCTGTCTTCGTGCAGTATGCCAATGGTAAGACTGGTTGACGTAAAAGACACAATACCCATGTGCATAGAATAGTTAACACAGTCTACCAGACAGCATGTTTTACTATGGCCAAAATCGTTTATCGCATACATACCAAAATACTGATCGATATAGTACTGATATCCGTCAGTTACAAAAATCTCTAGGCAAATTTAACGGTAGGCTAAACCAAATAGCACCCCTAACACATATGGGGAGTTAATACTGATAAAAATCTTGAACGGCTCACTGAGTTTATTTTAGATTTTGTGGCATAGGGATGTACCATCTCACACAGCAGAGGCATACAATCGCCTCGGCCACAAACACCTACCTAAGTTAGGGGATATTTGCCAGTCATCCACCTTAGAAAAAAGTCGGGCAGATTCATATACCCGCTACTGTTGAGGTTGGCTGTTGTAGCTATGCTAAACAGCTTATTTATTCGATCAGAAATATTAACTCATTTATTTCAAAGAAGAATACAAAAGTCACTCAAGACCTAACGCCCAGTCAACGTCATGTACGAAGACGTGAAGCGATAGGATTGCATGACATTGTTGCTTCGAATAACCAGCTAGAGAAATTTTAAAACACAGTAAATGGTCTAATGCGCATAAACAACCAGTAAGTTCTGGCTGCACAAATGGTTGATCATTCTGTAGACCTATATGAATTTACAGATCAGATACCTTTAAATAACGACGTAATGGCATTTCTAGTCCCGCAGTAAATTACTTAAATGTGAGCAGTGTAACGACACACATCCAAACAAACCTATCCGCTTGAAAACTAGTCCTTCTAAGTGTATTCCATAGGATGACTCGAATGAACTTGAATTCATCTCACAGAGTCAAGAAAACACTCCAGCTCTGACAAAGTGTGGTGAGACAAAATCCACTACACCGGTTAGGGAAACACATGTTTGGAATAAAGCAGTAAAATAGGTTTATTGGCTAAGGTAACTGGGATGACACTAACTTCAGCTCCAGTATCTACTAAGAATTTGTAGCCTGAAGTTTTATCAAGAACGTGGAAAAGACGAGTAGGCGCACGACCAGAAACATTTGTCGCTACCATGGTTTGGTTGACACGTTTTGGTGAGGAAAATGACTTGAAAAATTTACAAGACGTAACACATTTCCTGGCTCTGTCACCATATTTTTTATGGTACCAACATATGTTGTCGTCGTTTTTGTTTCCTTTTGAGTTATCTCGATTCTTACTCCCTCGAGAACAAGAACGAGGTCTTGTAGATGTGAAATTGGAGATTAATAATTGTAGTGCATCCAGTTTATTTTCAAGACTAGCGACAGTTCGTTCATGATGTGCTCGCAGTTCGCCTAGCTCAGCAGTTAACGATGCCATGGTGGGAGTTTGCTTATCGTTCGAAGTTTCTAATATTGTCTGTACGTAAGGTGTAGTACAGGGTGTAACTTCTAAAATTTTATCGGCCATGTTAGAAAGACTCTCTAAATCTGATGGTTGGCTAGAGGCGCAAAGAATTTGCCTAACTACTGTTGGCAAACGTTGTAGCCAAATCTCCTTGAGGAAGGCGTCATCAAATTTATAAGGGCCAGCTAATTGTCTCATGTGTCGTAATAATTGAGACGGTGATTTGTCGCCTAGCTCACAATCGTGCAGTAATTGCTGTAATCTCTTTTCATCAGATAATGAGGTACGTTGAATAATTGCCTGCTTCAATTGATCATATGGATTAGGTGCAGGAATATTATCTATCAAATCTGACACCTCAGATGCAACTTCAGTGGGTAGTAATCCAAGCACAAAAGAGTATTTAGATGCCTGTGAGCGTATGTTGCGACGCTGAAATTGTACTTCTACTTGCGCAAACCAAATGCGAGGATTTAATCGGCTGAATGGGGGCACATTTATCAAATTTAGAGCGTGTAGCTCTGCTGAAATGTTATCCTGGCTAATGCCTTCAGTTTCGGATGAGTACATTACAAATATACGAAAATTTAAATACTACCAAGGGTAAAATAACGCCGTAATGTCTGTAAGTGAACTCAAAAGTAGTTTCGAGTAAAAAAAAATTTTACGGGCTCACCAAATTTGTGGTGGTTCCCAAACAAAAGGAGCTTACACAAAATATATTGATACACTAGGTTAACAATGATATACCAAAACAAATTAATGGCAAAGAAACCTAGATGTCTGTCCGTTAGTAAAAACAAAGGTAATAAAATACCGTTAGCAATACAAAAGGTATATTAAACAAACAGACGCTAACAGTTACTATAGAATGAATGTTACTTGTTAACTGCCACGTGAGAACAACGACCACAAACTGAGTTCACTTGATTGACAGGTGTTCCTCTGCAAGTGACTGCACCAATGACGTAATGAGGAAGACGGAGTCCAATAGTATTATACAATAGTAAACCGCGCCAAAAGTCCAACGTTGAGTCGGAAGGCCTATAATGATGTTATAATACTATTATAGTCTTCAATCAAAACGGTGGCCAATAAAACAGAAGAACAACGGCGTAGATAGTGTTCTATATTTTAAACAACGCGGTAGTAGAATCGTATATCATTCATCGAAACAAAAATTATCGTCTTTTTAACAAGTGATACAGCAAAACAACAGATATTGAATAAAAATGTGGTTACAAATAAGGTGTGACAAATTAGAGAAAAAATGTGGTTTTTATTTTTGTTGTTACAAAAATCACTGAATATATGTCACCATATAACTCCCCCCCTAGGGCATGCGTCAGTGAAAGTATGCCCGACGTAAAACTCTAAATGCTTTGGAGGGAGGAGAAAATTACAGAACGAAAAGGGTAAACAAATGTGTTTTTTTAAAAAAAATAATACGTGTATATATATTTAAGAACAAAATGTTTGTCTTGTAGTAAAGAGACTTTAATGTATATAAAAAGTTTAACAACAATAACGGTGTATAATAATAATAATAATAATAATATCATTAGTAATAACGGTAATTAAATTGAGAGTTCATCGAAAAGTGTAAATACATGTATAAATTGTGTAAACAATTAGTGATAATCTGAACGAGTCCAACGAAATTGTATATATTTGCACAATTAATAATAAACATCATATAAAACGCATACACATGTAGAGAGAAACACAATGAATTTATCAATATTAGTAGTACACAAGAATTTTTTTTAGAAAAAAAAATGCTTGCAAAAAAAATGGTATTAGTAACTCTGCTAACATAGATATTTAATCATATTACAGGTAATGACAGAATAAAGATTAAGTAATTAATTCAACATAACGTTTAGGAAAATGTACATGTCTTCCTGAACGAGTTGTTTTCGTAGAGGTTAAAGTGTCGGAACTAGGATTTAAATTTGTGGGAACTGTAACCTTAGAACTGTCTGTTTTACCGAATATTGATTTCGTCGGAGTTGGTGAAGAATTATTTGGAAACACTGGAAGCTGCGTTGTGTGATCACCGCTGTCTTTAGACGGCTTTCGGCTGTCATGTGTTTCAGATTCTATAAAAGCAGGTTTTATCCTGTCGATCGAAACTGTTTCTTTTTTTCCGTTCTTATTGATTGTGAAATATTTTGTTTGCCTCTCAACTACTTCAAATGGTCCTTCATAAGGATGTTGTAGAGGGCGTCTTACGGAGTCAACACGAACAAACACAAATTTACACGTATTTAGATGCTTGCTAACTTGCTCTTTTAAGACAACTGGCCGAGGTGCAACAGGCTTAATGTTATTCATATGGCTCATTAGTCTTTCGCAAAAAGAAGTGGGATCCGTACATACGGGTTTGCCATTATGCGTCACTAGCTGCCCCGGTAAGGTTAAATTAGCTCCATAGACGAGCTGTGCCGGAGTACATTGTAGGTCTTCTTTAATTGTGGAACGTATGCTTAGTAAAATAAGAGGTAGAGATTCACTCCATCTAGAAACATCAGGCTGTACCATCAATGAGCTTTTTAGTTGTCTGTGGAATCGTTCCACTAGTCCATTCGCTGCTGGATGGTATGCTGTTGTAGTGATGTGATGGATTCCTAAAATGCGGGTAAATTCATTGAAGAGGTGAGATTGGAACTGTGAACCTCTGTCAGAAGTAACTGTAGAAGGTACACCGAAATTAGCGATCCATCTGTCGAGGAATACAGCAGCAACATTTTCCGCGGAGATATCTTTTATTGGGCATGCCATTGGCCATCTAGTGAAACGGTCCACTGCAGTAAAAATGTAAGTGAATCCATTAGATGGAGGCAGAGGACCAACTAAATCAACATGAACATGTTGAAAACGATGGTCGGGTAGACTAAATGCTGACGGTGTTGTAATCGTATGTCTATGTATTTTACTGCGTTGACATTGTACACAAGTCCTGGTCCATAGTTTTATATTTGCATTCATCTTTGGCCAGACAAATCTTTCGGCAATCAGTTTCACAGTAGCACGAATCCCTGGATGGGATAGTGAGTGAAGACAATCAAAAACTCTTTTCTGTACACTATTGGCACAAAAGGTCTGTGCGTTCCAGTAGAAGTATCACAAATGATAGTAGAGTCAGAATGCGGTATAGGAACACTTTTTAAGGACAAGCTCGAACTTTGTTTACAAGCATCAAGGTCAGGATCATCTGTCTGCAAACGTGCCATGTCTAATAAATCGATTCCTTTGGTGAAGGAAATTGCATCGACGTTGAAACGTGACAAAGTATCCGCAACAACATTTGACTCACCTTTTATAAACTGTATGTTGGTCGAAAATTGGGAAATATAATCCAATTGTCGCATTTCTCTAGGGGAATAACGGTCACTTTTCGCGTTAAAGGCATAGGTTAAAGGTTTGTGATCAGTGAGTATCACAAAGTCTCTGCCTTGCAGTAAATGGTTAAAATGTTTAACAGCTAGATAAATAGCCAATAGTTCTCTACCGAAAGTGCTATATCGAGTTTGGGTTGGTTCTAGCTTCTTTGAAAAGAAGGCAAGTGGTTTGACCTCATTATTAACTCGCTGTTGTAGTACTGCACCTACTGCTGCCTGTGATGCATCTGTACACAGAATTAGTGTTGCTTCCGGATCAGGGCTTAAGTAGGTCAGCATGGTAGTAGAAGCGATTGCTGTTTTAGCTGCAGAAAAGGCATCTTTCGCTTGGGAGGGTAATGTGAACTTTTTGACTTTACCTTTTAACACCTCTGTCAAAGGTTGTAGGATGGCTGAGCAATGTGGAATAAAGCGACGATAAAAATTTATCATCCCCAAGAAACGTCGAAGTTTATTCCATGAGTCTGGTTCTGGAAAATTCTTGATGGCTTCTATTTTTGTATCCAAAGGTTTAATTCCACGTTTGTCGATCAAGTGACCTAAAAACTCTAAGCTCTCAACTCCGAAAATACATTTGGATGGGTTAATCACTATGCCATATTTCTGAAATCTTTCGAATAATTGATGTAGGTGATCAGCGTGTTCATGGAGCGAACTGCTAGCTATTAAGACATCATCAATATACACGAAAACAAAATCTAGGCCTTTAGTGACCTCATCCATAAATCGTTGAAATGTTTGTGCGGCGTTCTTTAATCCAAAAGGCATTCTTAGAAATTCAAACAAACCAAATGGAGTAATGATGGCTGTTTTTGCAATGTCCTCGGATGCTACTGGTATCTGGTGGTACGCTCGCACAAGATCGATTTTAGAAAAAATTTGCTTGCCATGTAAAGTGAGAGAAAAATCATGTAAATGAGGGATTGGGTAACGATCTGGTAATGTTAGGTTGTTCAATGATCTATAATCACCACAAGGTCGCCAATCTTGGTCTCGCTTGGGCACCATGTGGAGTGGGGATGCCCAGGGGCTACTTGACGGACGTATTATACCTAGCTGCATCATATGATCAAACTCAGCTTTTGCAACATTCAGTTTGTCCGGTGGTAATCGGCGTGGACGTGCCGAAGTTGGTTGACCTTTTGTGATGATCCGGTGTACTACAGAATGTTGGACAGTGTTTTCACTGTAGTCTGGTTTCGTTATTTTGGGAAATTTAGATAGAATGGTGGCGAATATGTCGTTTCCTGGGGTGTCAATTTTAATACTATGTATGTGGTAGTCCGACTGAATTCCCTGGATTTGAAGGTTCGTGCAGGAATCAATAAGTTTTCTTCTCTTAACGTCAACTAGTAGGTTGTAGAAACTTAGAAAATCTGCACCTAGTATAGGGTGACGGACATCCGCAATAATGAATACCCAGGTTAAATTACGTCTAATTCCCAAGTCTAATGTTAGAAATTGTTCACCAAATGTCTTTATTTCGGTTTTATTAGCTGCTCTTAGGGTATATTTTCCACTCTTAGCAATAGGTTTATTGGCTAAGGTAACTGGGATGACACTAACTTCAGCTCCAGTATCTACTAAGAATTTGTAGCCTGAAGTTTTATCAAGAACGTGGAAAAGACGAGTAGGCGCACGACCAGAAACATTTGTCGCTACCATGGTTTGGTTGACACGTTTTGGTGAGGAAAATGACTTGAAAAATTTACAAGACGTAACACATTTCCTGGCTCTGTCACCATATTTTTTATGGTACCAACATATGTTGTCGTCGTTTTTGTTTCCTTTTGAGTTATCTCGATTCTTACTCCCTCGAGAACAAGAACGAGGTCTTGTAGATGTGAAATTGGAGATTAATAATTGTAGTGCATCCAGTTTATTTTCAAGACTAGCGACAGTTCGTTCATGATGTGCTCGCAGTTCGCCTAGCTCAGCAGTTAACGATGCCATGGTGGGAGTTTGCTTATCGTTCGAAGTTTCTAATATTGTCTGTACGTAAGGTGTAGTACAGGGTGTAACTTCTAAAATTTTATCGGCCATGTTAGAAAGACTCTCTAAATCTGATGGTTGGCTAGAGGCGCAAAGAATTTGCCTAACTACTGTTGGCAAACGTTGTAGCCAAATCTCCTTGAGGAAGGCGTCATCAAATTTATAAGGGCCAGCTAATTGTCTCATGTGTCGTAATAATTGAGACGGTGATTTGTCGCCTAGCTCACAATCGTGCAGTAATTGCTGTAATCTCTTTTCATCAGATAATGAGGTACGTTGAATAATTGCCTGCTTCAATTGATCATATGGATTAGGTGCAGGAATATTATCTATCAAATCTGACACCTCAGATGCAACTTCAGTGGGTAGTAATCCAAGCACAAAAGAGTATTTAGATGCCTGTGAGCGTATGTTGCGACGCTGAAATTGTACTTCTACTTGCGCAAACCAAATGCGAGGATTTAATCGGCTGAATGGGGGCACATTTATCAAATTTAGAGCGTGTAGCTCTGCTGAAATGTTATCCTGGCTAATGCCTTCAGTTTCGGATGAGTACATTACAAATATACGAAAATTTAAATACTACCAAGGGTAAAATAACGCCGTAATGTCTGTAAGTGAACTCAAAAGTAGTTTCGAGTAAAAAAAAATTTTACGGGCTCACCAAATTTGTGGTGGTTCCCAAACAAAAGGAGCTTACACAAAATATATTGATACACTAGGTTAACAATGATATACCAAAACAAATTAATGGCAAAGAAACCTAGATGTCTGTCCGTTAGTAAAAACAAAGGTAATAAAATACCGTTAGCAATACAAAAGGTATATTAAACAAACAGACGCTAACAGTTACTATAGAATGAATGTTACTTGTTAACTGCCACGTGAGAACAACGACCACAAACTGAGTTCACTTGATTGACAGGTGTTCCTCTGCAAGTGACTGCACCAATGACGTAATGAGGAAGACGGAGTCCAATAGTATTATACAATAGTAAACCGCGCCAAAAGTCCAACGTTGAGTCGGAAGGCCTATAATGATGTTATAATACTATTATAGTCTTCAATCAAAACGGTGGCCAATAAAACAGAAGAACAACGGCGTAGATAGTGTTCTATATTTTAAACAACGCGGTAGTAGAATCGTATATCATTCATCGAAACAAAAATTATCGTCTTTTTAACAAGTGATACAGCAAAACAACAGATATTGAATAAAAATGTGGTTACAAATAAGGTGTGACAAATTAGAGAAAAAATGTGGTTTTTATTTTTGTTGTTACAAAAATCACTGAATATATGTCACCATAAGCTATTCAGGAATCAACAGAAAAACTGTCAGTTTAAACTAGCCCTGTACAAAGATAAATAATATTGATAAAGTTCTATTCACTCAACTTGCACGTTGTTATACTCGCCCATGTAGTACGTTGCTAAGCGATACAGTTTTGCTAGTTTTCGACAAGGTTGCACGATACAAACGACCATTTGTTTTTAATTATAAATTGATCAGTTGAATTATTTGGCCAGTTATAGCGTGTTAGGAGCTAATTGAACTAAGTTTTTATAAGCATTATTATCGAAGGTTTACTCCAACAGTGGTTCCAGTCAACTGATAGAGATGCTCATAACGGCGAGGCTCTAATTTAGGGACGAGCCAATCAGAAGCGTTTGAGCAATTTCAATTATTAGTCAATAAAAAGACAGCATAAAGTAAAAATATATTAAAAGAAAGTAACGAATTACAGTGGATATTCTTCTTTTACCTGATTTAAAGACTCGTATGTCAGCATCCTAACCCTAACTTTAACCCTAAACCTTAACCCTCAACTAGCCCTAACCTTAACCCTCAACTAACCCTAACTTTACCCGTTAACGTAACCCGGGTTAGGCCTAACCCAATGGATGAGTTTCTATTCCATATGCATCGTGAATTCAGAACTTCTGAACCTTAATCAAACTTTAACAAGTTTTTAAATCATGTAAAAGGAGAATATCCACAGTAATTCATTACTTTCATATATTATATTTTCACTTTATACTAACTTTCTTCTGATTGGCTAATAAATATCAAGGTCACTTAAGATTCGTTCGAAGGTCGTCCTTAAATTAGAGTCTCGCCCTTATAACAGTTCAGTAGAATTTGACAAATAGTGCCATGTATTTAAAACGACAGATATAAAAGAGACAGGTTTTGGCTATATCTTGTCGTATACCACAGAATAATTGCATATGTTTACCGGGAATGTTTCGAATCAGAAGATGTACATACTCGCATGAACTTAATTAGGTTCATGGGAGCTTTAAAGCTCCCTAATTTGGGATAAAAGTGATCAGGTGTGAGACAGTTCCACTAGTGAAATGAATTGCATTTGGGAAGATCTGATGCGTAAAAACCAAATAAATGAATTAATATCTGGTAGTCGACGAGTTGTTCAGGGGAATGTTGACTTTCGGATAGTTTACTGGACTGCAGCCGTCATCAATTTCACTAGCCTAAATTTCTTAAGACGTATATTGGTGGTTGGTGATTGATTTTTTGGTTTTCTGACAATTGTGTTTACTGCGTAAAATCACCAATTTCCCTTTTCGGTTTTTTAAAGTGACATGATAGCCTGTCATACACGTACATGTTTTTCGTGCCGACATTGAAACGATTTGGCATCGATATCTTCAAAACAATACTGAATCAAAGTCTTACGTAACAACCATATCTGGTATAATCATACCATAACGCAATACTGCACGACTTTGCCTCCCAGAAAGATCCAGTCCTCTTGGTAATCTATGCGATCCCGAATTTGCTGACTTTTTGCATTTCTCTTGAATGCAAATAACTATGTATTCAGTAATTAATCACGTGGAACGAAATGAGATTGTCCTCTCTTAACATTCTGTATGACACTGAGCACCATTCATTAGGTGAATGTCCACAAATTTAGCAGGATTCATGAATAGTTCTTCATCGAAAAGTTACTTGATTGCTTTGATAAGTACCTGCTTCTAACTTAATCCACTAATGGCTGCAAACAGTTTGTTCATAGGCCAAATGATATTTAAAAGATAGAAATTATTTCAAAGTAACAACACATGAGTAAACAAGATAAAATTTGACCACATATGTATGTAGTAACAGAATACAGTTTTGAGAAATGCATTTATAAAGGAGAACAAATCAGGGTTTTTGACCGATGCTTGAGTAAACAATGACATCAAAAAGAATTTCATCACATTTAATGCATTGCAAATGACATGCTTAAAGATAAACTCACCAACCCATGGTCCTCAAATAATAGACTAATAATCAGGTTAATATCCACATATTCCTGTGGTATGTATATTGTACCATAAAAATACAGTTTCAAATTATGATTTAGGATCAATGAATACAGTATTGGGGATGACAAATAACTCGCAATCTTAGGATAGAGAATACATTCAAATACATCACCGCGATCGATCTTGGATTGTGACACACGAACTTCCCAACTAATTATTTATTATGATGTGGTCCAAAACAATGGTCTCATCTACCAATGTGGACCAGACTAATGGTCAGTAACTTCATAGATTGATGTCATTTCTCGATCTGGCCATCAGTAGCTCCTTCCAATATACTCCTAGATTGACCGTATTTACACATCTAGGTATGCGATAAGAGTGAACAAGTAATGCCCACCCTGACTACTCCAGTAGAAGGTTTAATACATCATTGATCTACCTTTAATATCTACGTAATACCTTACTATAGACCTCTATGTCGTTCACTCCACTGTTCCACTACATGTCAGTAATGCTTCGAAAGTATCAATAATCAAGTTGTATTATTCTGTAAATATCTTCTACTTTCATAGGCCAGGTTTGATGACCGCCGAATAATACAGGCATACTCACCCCTTGTTCCCCAGAAAGTCACCTAAAAACGTCACAAGAGACGAGACCCGGCAGTGGAAGTTCCAATAGTCGTAGATACCACTCGTTTACCGTCATTCAGCATTAGAGCTTTCGCTCATAAACATAAATTCACACTATAGAGTGTAATAAGTTATTTGCTGAAAAATATTGTAACAGATACTAATAAGTATATATATAACTGTCTCAATCGTATCAAACATTTTGGAGAATAATAATTGTGACATCGCATGATGAGAGATAAATTCATGAGTTGTCTTTTCTTAGTGGCACTTACCGTACATTAGCTAACTGCCTAAATATAAGTGCCAATTTGTTTTTTCCCTTATCTTTGTTCTTATAAAAGCATAAACCCCTTTTATGGCTATTTTTAATTTAATTAGCATTTATAATGTCCACCGATTGTTCCTCAGAATACGACCAATTAGAATGCGAATCTGTTGTATCAACAGACGTTTGTATGAGAACAGATAATCAAATAGTTGAAAAACTCGTCCCAACTCTGACAAATCCATATAATGAAATGAAACACCCAGGATTAACGCCTTCAATAACGGCTTATAGATGGATTACATCGCAACCAACTTTAACAAGAAGTGTATTTAGTAAAATTGAATCTGAAACTATAGCACAATGGCTAAGTGTTAGTACAACAGATGATTGGTTAATGCATATCCCGAAATGTTCAATAGGAAGATATGATAAGAATTCCTTTAAGAATTGGAAAGCTGATTATCTAAAACAACCACGTCCACTTGATCAAAACAGATTCACTACATTATATTCAACTAGTTATGAAGCCAAGCAGTTGGATGAGCAGACAAAGAGTAGGCCTACATCTGCTAATCGCCGAAATAAGCCACAGCCGTCAAGGTAGGCTATTTTAAGTCATTATCTGAAATTATTTTTGTTTTCATCAACCACTAATCACTTTAATGTGGTGGCTGATGAAAAATAGTTTCCTAAAGAGAACCATGCACTTTGAACAAGACTAACTTTATTAAAATAATTAACTGAACAATGTTTGATCAACATTGAAAACCTGGGATCACTGGCATTCACGCGATATCGAAGGTCCTGGGTTCGAATCCCGCGTGCTGGATCGTGGCTTCCCACAGGTGAAGAGTCCTATATTCGGATGCCAACTACTTCTCATTGGTGGCCTATCACTTATCGGTTTATGGAATTCAATAATCTCCACAACCCCATACCGAAAATTAACTTTAAATCCTCACCACATAGTATTGTATACCTCAAAAAGGCTTATTAAAGGAAAACACGAATGAAAAATCATATTGTAAATAGATATTATTAGTGGAAAATGACAATTAATTATTATCGTGAAAGTTATATGCATATATATTGTTCAACTTCAAAAAGCGGATCAACAAAAAAGATCTCTTGGCCAAACTATCCTGTTGTTTGAGTTTCTAGGCAGGCATTTATCACTTATATTTTTATTCTGCAATTGGTTCATTAAATGGAATTTTATTTGACACTGAAGATGTAGATGAAACATCAGAAACACTTAATAACCCAATATGTCACACTCGTTTATATTAAATACCTTAGGTGAGGCAATACTGAAAATTGTATGGAAACTATCCTAGAATGAAAACTTCAAAATATGATGATAATTACCAGTT